ATTGGAAGTTTAGCTTAACCATACAAAAAGAACTAGATTTAGGAATTTGAAACTTTGGTAAATTTAATATTAATCAAAACACCAGAATCCATCATTATTCTTTCTCAGGCACAAGAGCACCCATTAAAAAATAAAAAAGTCCAATTGTCACCTGGAATCTTTCTATGTGAAGGAAGTGGAAAATCTCCTGGGTGCATACACTTCTAACATCTGATTATAGCAGCTCTCTGAACCTTCCAGAGAGAAACATAATAAGTACTTAGTTAATGTTTATTGACTGAATGAAAGTGACTTTGCTTCACTGAAAGCACTTAGTAGTCTCTTGGCAAATACTTAGTGATATATGAATAAATACATGTATAAAATGAACTTTTTTCATATTAATAAAATTTCAAATCTATTCCTCACTTTGTGCTTTAGCCACACTGGTCTTTTTTCCCCTCCTTTTCTTTTTTAGTTCCTCTAACTTACTACATGACTTACATATTCTGTACCCTCTTCTAGCAACATTCTCTCACTCTCTCACTCCTCTGACAAAGTTTGTCAGATATCTCCTGTTATCACTAAATTATAACTTCCTCCAGGAAGTCATCTTTGGTTTAACTACTCAAGTCAATCTTTCCTGTGACATATGTTCTTAAGACACCATTTCCCTCTCCAGACTATTTTCTACATAAGTAATTTCACAACCACTTGTGTGATTATCTCTAATTCCCCACTATATTGGAACGTAGCCCTATGATGGCAGCCTGTGACTCTGTTTTATCTTACTTTTTCCTCCAAATCCATCTGTGTTTGAAAAATAGAAGGTACTTAACAAATACTTCTTGACTGAATGAATGATTGTTAAATATGTAATATGACCCAAAAAACTGTTTCAGGGGATCATATAAAAATACATAGAAGGGTAATACCTCAAAGTGTCAAGGCGATTATGTTTTTAAAAAAAGCTTTAAATATGTAACTTGCAGAAACACTATTTTCACATAGTTGTCCAAGATACAAAATTAAAATGAGTTTTTAAATGAGTATTTGTTGTAATTGTGTGAGGTTATTTTCTACTTTTCCCTGTAAATAACACTGTCCAACAGAAATATAATATGAGCCATACATGTAATTTTAAGTGTTCTAGTAGCCACATAAAAAGTATAAATAGATTTAAGTTAATTTTAATAATACAGTTCATTTAACCCAATACATTATTTAACCCAACAAAAACATTATCATTTCAACACATAATCAACATAAAAATTAGTGAGATAGTTTACATTCTTTTTTTAAAATAATAAATGTTTGAAATCCAGCTTGTATTTTATGTTTATAGAACATCTCAGGACTCAAATAACCACATGAGCCTAGTGTCTGCTGTATTGGACCATACAACCCTAGCTCAGTTTCCAGTCTTCTCTGCCTCATTCTGCGCCCTGGAAGGCGACCTGCGCTTGCATCACCCAGCTCTTTTGCCCTCAGGTTTCTAGCTAGTTTTGGGCAATGGGAGGCACCATTAAAAAATGGGACTATGGGAAGAGAGAGCAGCCCAGTTATGTCAGACCACCCCCTCCCCATGCCCAAATTGGGCTGCCACAGTTCCTCTACCTAAGGCCATTATGGCCTCTCTTCAAAGCTACACGTTTGTCTGGCCCGGTAACACTGCTCCCTTCTTTTCCCCACTGGGCTTAAGAGCTGCCACTGGAAGCTCCCCCTCCACCCCACCCTTTGTGGGTTTCCTTACCCACATACCTCTGAAAAAAACTGCCTCTTCATTTAATCTTTTGTTGAGTATGCTATTTTTCTCCTGCCAGAACACTAACTGAACCAAGTAGTTAAGAACTATTGTTATGGCCCATGCTCTTATTAGATTTTCCTTCATGAACACCTTAAGTCAATCACAATATTTAAAGTTTTAATTCTTGTACATATATACAAATGCTCGGCCATCAGTAACTTTTTCTTTCTTAAATAAAAAAAACCCCATTTATCATATTGATAACAGGTGAATTTTAGACTTGGAAGATAAGTTAGAGCCATGGTTCTCAGGCTTGAGAAGTCTGTGTCTGAGTAATTTCTGTATTAGGAATCCTGTTTGCAAGTAACAGGAAAAAAAACGAACTCAAAGTAGCTTAGGCAAATCAGGGGAAGAGGCAAGGAACTTGTACGTTCAATTAAGAATCCCAAAAGTGGAACTGGGCTCAGCGCTTCTTAAACAAGAGTTCTAGAGCTCCTTATTCCCCAACTCTCAGCTTTCCCTCTCTTTAGGTTGGGTCCACTGCAGGCTGCTTTCTCCCTCTTGGAGAGAGGATGGCTGCCAGGCTCAGGACCCTAGCAATCAGAGGAAGGGAGCACATCTCTCAATGGCTGGCCTAGCAGCAGTGCTGACAAAATAGCTAAGAAATCATGGAGGTAATATGGTACATCAATAATTACATCGCTCTTACAAATTTATAAGGGCATTTTTTGCAGTATACAACTTGCAGAATCTTAAATTGAAAGAGTTTCTTTAAAAGGATAATAGTTTATGGCTATGATGTGGCTAAGATAGAACCTGATATAAAGTCAACTTCAGGGAGTTATCTGACTTTAGGGTCCAAATTTGCAATCACTTTAACCAGAAGCCCTAGCACTGTTTATGGCTTGTAAAAAATATGGAAGCTAGAAATTGTTAAACCCTTATATTCTACATTTAAGTTAGCTATTAAAAGTTCTGAAGTTATTGTAATTTTTAAAATTACAAGTGCCATTAACTGACAGGTCTGATTGGATTACTCATCCATTCCTGAACTAACGGGGGTGGGTAGACAGGGGCACTAAGAACCAGAATGATTTAATTAACCAGGGTGTTCATGTCTCTACTTCTGAAAAAGCAGGGTGTAGGACCCAACCACACCTAAATCAATAATGTGGACTACTGTGAGAAAAGTAGTTCCTCAGAGAAAATCAACAGATGTTTGTTTACTACAACACATGATCCCCATTTCCTGTCCAAGAAATTAAGAAATGGTCTCGTGAAGCTTTCTCTGGTGGTAGGATCTAGACCACAGCGGTTGGTGGTTGAATACATTTAAAGAAACATTAAAATATTCCATAATTTAAATGGATAATTCACTTAGCTGCAGTTACCAGAAGATGGAATGGGTGAGTGGATGGGCAGAGAGGTTCAAGAGGTATTTGAGAATATGGTTGGAGGGATTAAGAGTGCTCCATTGAAAGATGCATGCTAGACTAACATTACATACACAAACAACAACAAAAACCCAGGAAAAATGGTGGGAAAGAACGGGATATTGAAGTGTGAAAAGAACATTTTAAAAGAGTCAGCATTTTGGGGGGCAAATATTGTGCCAAATGAGTTACACACATCACTTAACTAATTAAATAAACAAATGTGTATTGATAACCTGCTGTGTGCCAGGCTTGTTTCCAGGCAAAAAGTGAAGTTCCTGTGCAGGCAGACAGCACATAACAACCCTGCAAGGTTGTTGTAGTTATCCTATTTTACAGAGAGGAAACCAATCCCAAGGGTAAGGGATTCTTCTCCAGACACTTTAGCACTAAGTAGCAATTCTGTGGTCCAAATCAAGCAGTGCCTGACTTCAAAGGCATTGCTTTGATAGAGGGAAGTAAAAATTGGAGAAAAGCTTTCACAGAAGGAGTGGAGTAAATCAGAGAAAATATAAGTGAGCCAGAAGAGGAAAGCATTTAGAAAAAGAAAATTAAAAAGAAAAACAGAAAGCATTTGCTAGAATGCCTCGCCTGGGAAACATCCCAAGTAAATCCAGCTCAGGGAGGGCCTGGCTCAACAAAAGTACTTCCCATTTCCTCTCTTCCCTTGCAGTATGAAATCCCATTTTACAGGTAAGAAAACTAAGGCTCAGGGCCATTAAATTTTTTTTCTCCCCACTACAGATAAACATTTTAGAGCCACAATAAGAGATACGGCTTCAAAAGAAAATATCTGGGAAAAACAAAACAAGTAAATAATTGGCATAGCTTTCAGCTAATGGCGGAAACATACAAATGGTTATTGTTTTCTTAAGAGCAAATTTAAATAAATTTTAGCAATAAGTTAGACTCCACTGAAAGGGGGTAGGGAACACCGGGCAAACTTCCTAGCTCAACTCACTGTTTTAGAGAGGGAGATCTTCGTGATTTTTTTTGACACATTCGCGGTATTTCTCTCCCCAGAGTTAATTATTCTCGTGGCTGTTTTTTTTTTTTTTAATGGAAGTGGAAAACAAAGTAAAGTGTGAATGACCCATGGGTCCCACCCCTGCCCCCAGGTCAATACCGTTGGAAGGAGACAGGCTGGCACTCGTTTGGCGTCCCAGAATTTAAATTCAATCTTCTTCAGGAACCTTCTTTCACTGTTATTTGCTAAAGGTGATCGTTTCCAGACTGCCTGACCACTCTCATTTGCCTTTCAGTTTCTAGTAAACATTTCAAGAGTCCAGGATGATGACGCTACCATCTCTGCCAAATCCTGCAGTTTGGGTGAGAGGTGGGAAACCAACCAGAGTTGGGCAGCCCTTCCAGGATCGGGCTTTTCCTTAAGTGTGGGACCTGGGCGGGCACAATCTGGCGGCAGCTCGGTCACAAACAGTTCCGTGACCTTGAGAGCAACTCCGTAGCACGTTTGCAAAACTGACGGTCTTAGTTCCTGCCTAACCGCTCACAAGGATAAGGTAATTAGTGAATTCATCTAATACTTTAATCTCATTAGAAGCAAAAGGCTCTAAAGGCGCCTGGGAACCCTAGCCTATCTGGAGATGAGGGAGGGGGGACTGAGGGTAACTCTAATGCCGGCAGCGGGGAAATTACACTCTCCGGGCCTCAGGCGACCAGAGCGTAACAGCGCTCGTCTCCGCGGACAAGGCGGCACAGCCAGAGCGCGCTCCCAGTAACCGCGGTTCTCGCTGCGTTTGTAGCAGCTCCGTCACGACCTCCTCCGCTTTTCATTGGGCGAGCCCGTCCAATCATGTGACTCCAGTTGGCGTATAAATAAGGGCGGGGAGAAGGCGGTGGTCCGCCATTTCGTGGACGCCAGGTCAGCGAGACCTTCTGCGGGAGTCTCGCGTGTGGGGAGCGGGACGACCCTGCCGAGTGTGTGTGGATTTGAGCCTCCGCGTTTTTAACACAAGATCTCGGTAAGAGACCAGCGACTTAAGGAATGAAGTGGGAAGTGGAACTTAACAGGACCCAGGTCGGGCCGGGCCAATGGCGGTGCCAGACTGAGACAAAGAGACGCAGCCGCCATTTTGTGACGTTCAGCACGGGGCGGTGGCGGGGGCTCTCGGCCCCTGGGAGGATGTTCCCAGGTCTGGAAGTGGAGGTGTTTTTAACCCTTCACTGGGAGTGGTAAGCCAGAAAGTGAGATTGCCCGAGAGTTGAGGCGAAGAGGAACTCGGTAATCGGTTGTACTCGGGGCCGCGGCCTTTGAATTTATGGCGCCTTTTTTTTGGGGGGGGGGACACGTTTTCTCAGGTAGCGTCTCAGGATTTTTTCAAGTCACGAATCAAGACTGGATTTTTCGACCCATATTAAGTGATTTTTGTAGTCACCTCATTTTTGTAATTTTAACTTGACTTCACTTTATACAGCCTGAATCTATAGTTTTTTTTTTTTTTGAAACCGATCTTCCTTGAGCTGAATTGTTCTTGTAGCTGCTTCCTGTTAATACGTAGGCCTGAAACTGGTCACGGTAGTGCCCCCCCCCCAAACCATTCCCTAGCAATGATTTAGTCTCAGAACTTTTGGGCACAGGGTGAGGTCATGCAAATAGGATGTGTCTGGACTGGCGTTTTAAAATTTGATTAGCCCAGAGTGAGAACATGGTGTTTGCAACAGCCCTTCAGCTGAGTTATGGGACAGGCTGCTTTTTCTGTGCAATTGATACTGGCTTGTAAGTCGACTAGATTCATTGCTGAGGCGCCTTTATAAGTAGTGAAGATTTATCAGATGTAAGCCCTCAAAGTGCCGTAAAATCATAACGAATACCTATTATCCCCACCCGAGGCGAAAGTAACGTAAGATTCATTTTAAAGTGCACGATTCAGAGGTATTTGGTACAGTCCAATGTTGTGCAACATCACCTCTAGTTCCAAAACATTTTATACCCCCTAAGGAGAGGTGTACACGTTAAGTAGCCACTCCCTGTTTGCCCTATCCCACTCCTCCCCTACCTAGCCCCCGGTAGCCACTACTCTCTGGATTTACCCATTTTGGATATTTCGTATGCGTGGAGTCTACGTTTGTGCGGTTCTGCGTCTGGTATCAAATTTAGCATCCAGCCTTCAAGTTTGTAGCATTTTTGAGTACTTCATTTTTGAATTGTACTTCATTCCTCTGTTGCGGATAATTTAACCATTTGTTGCTGGACTTGGGTTAACATCTTTTGGCTGTTGAGAATACAGTGAGGTACAATTTAAAAAGTTTGTCTTGCTGCTTGAGGATTATGAGGCTGGTTAAGTTTTTTGTGAAGGCACATTTGTATCACTTTTCTAGTGGTTTAGCCTTAACTGCTGTATTTCTTAAGCATTTCATTTCGTTTTTTAAGTATTGTCAGTTTACAGTTCATTTTGTTTTTGAGTCTTCAGGATTTGCTTACCTTTCTCAGTGCCTGGTGAAAAAAATTTTTTTGAGGTTCATTGAAATAGCAGGTAAAGTCCCTAACTGCCTACTTTGTGGTAAATGCTCCTCCAGGGTATTTTTTTCCCCCTCATTTTTTGGGGGAGGCAGTCTTTTGTTTTATTTTTAATGCAATTTGTGCTGGCTTCCAGGCAGTTATCTGTAATGATTGGGGTGAGTCTGGGTGTTTCAAGGGCAGTACTTTTACTTTTTTGGTTTTTAGTATTTTTGAGTTCTTTCCAAAGACTAGTTTTTTCACTGTGTGGATTATGATATTTGGGGTATTTTCTTTTTGTTACAGAAATGCATCGTGATTCCTGTCCATTGGACTGTAAAGTTTATGTAGGTAATCTTGGAAACAATGGTAACAAGACTGAATTGGAACGAGCTTTTGGCTATTACGGACCACTCCGAAGTGTTTGGGTTGCTAGAAACCCTCCCGGCTTTGCTTTTGTTGAATTTGAAGATCCTCGAGATGCAGCGGATGCTGTCCGAGAGCTAGATGGGAGGTAATTTACTAATTTATACTAATGGTAAATGTTGCTTGTGTTTAATATTTAAAATCTCTAGGATACGTGACTTTTAGATGGCTTCTTGGCTGTCTGAAGTTGATGTTATTGGAGATTCACATAAACCTGTTTTTGCAATCAAAAGGACTGAACAGTTTTAGTGAAGATATGTAGGAAACATTTCTGTTCAGTTGACCATTGAAGAAAGTAACCTTTAACAGTCCTTGGTTGAGTGGATAGGTGCATTCAGAAAACCCTTGAGACGTTTGAATCTAAACCTTCCATAGAGCACTGTTGTCCCCTTTGAATTGTTTGTAAAATAATTGTGGAATCAAACATGGCCTTGTGGCCACAAATTGATTGTAGCTGGATAGTGGTTACATGGATTTATTGTACCATTATCTTTTACACAGGTTTGAAATAGTTTGTTTAGGAAGTGTGTGGATCATACAGCTATTTCCCTTTGCATTTACAGTGTCCTATTACCTGTTGTAACACCTGTGTCTTCAGTGAACAGGTGTTGTTTCCCTTCTCCTTCCTGGTATTTGAAAACCACTGGATTTCATGAAAGCAAGAATTCAATCTTCAAGATCCCAAAATTAAGGGGTCTGAGGGTTGGCAGTACAGCTTTATAAAAGGTCATTTATTTAAGTAGATTACAGAAATTAAAAATTTTCCAGGGTCCCACCTCTTCCTAGTCATTTTCCAACTTTAGTGGCTTATCTAAATTCAGTGTTTGTGGACCAATGAAAAGGTGGGAGATAACTATTTTTCTGTATTCTCAGCTGCAGTTTATTATGTATGTGTCAACTATCGTGTTGTGATTGAGGGGAGATGGTGATGTTAAATGACCAGAATGCTTCTGTCCTGTTTATTGCTGTTTAATTGGTTGGGGGGGGTGGAGACCGATGAATACGGTATAGTAAGGTTAGTAAACAGTTGTTGGGACCTCAGAAGAAGTCACAATAGGATGTACAGATGAACTAGTTCTTTGAGGATGAATCCAGAGGTTTTCACACTTAAATTGCGACTGTTAACATTGAGCCCAATGATCTGACTAACAAAGATGTAAGGAAGTTGGTGTTCTTTACTAGAAAAAAATGAGGGAACTGAAATTTGTTTTGGTATTAAGGATTCTGCAGACATTCAGGTATGTTCTTTGCAAAGAAGCTAACTATAGGAGAGTTGTTTTGTTTTGCTTTGATACACTTGAAGGTCAACTTTCCTGATTTAAATTTAACATTTCTTGCCCCCAGAACACTGTGTGGCTGCCGAGTAAGGGTGGAACTGTCCAATGGTGAAAAGAGAAGTCGAAATCGTGGACCGCCTCCCTCTTGGGGTCGTCGCCCTCGAGATGATTATCGGAGAAGGAGTCCTCCACCCCGCCGCAGGTACTTAGAGCGTGTTTTGAGGTATTGATGTAATGGAGTAGCTAATAGGAGCAGGTATTTCTCTTAAAGTTTTTGGTGGGTTTTAAACTGAAGAATCAGAGGTTTTTATGAAACATTTGCTGGGTGTAGTTTGGGGTATGTGAGTTGTGCTGAGTGTTGGCTTTTGTCTTTAGATCACTGTTCATGTTGGTAGTCAGTAACTTCTATCTTGGATCTATCTTCTAGTTCATCTTCTAGTTGCATCTTTCCAAGTCTTCCCTTATACTTCAATTTAGGCCTTTTTCCATTTCTTGACTCCATAATGACAGACATTACATTCAACTCTAGCTCTTCACAAAAATGTGTTTTCTACTATTAGCACGATTGTAATATTTATCAAACAGGCAGCTGTTTTAATGTTAACTGGTAAATTAGATATCATTTCTGAAACTAACTTAAGTCACTGACCAAAAAAGGGGGCTAAAGTAATCCCAGTCATCTGTTCTTCAAACCCAAATAGGAGAGAATTCAGTTTTTTTTATAATTGAAAATGGCATCATTCTTGGGCCAGGCAGTATTGTCTGGATGCTGACTCCACATCTCCTCAAAACTTCAAAATAGTTTCTATAGGACTGAATTTACCTCTTACAGGTGAGTGGAGTCCTTCTAGGAGATAGGAGTTCAAAATCTTGCCCCTTTTGCTGTGTTGAAAGACAAAACAACACACTGTTGCCCATCATAATAAAGAGTATTTGTTAGCTAATAGATGGTTGTACTGATGGCTTGTTTTTCATTTTTTTTTGTGCTTTTTGGTCCATCTATTAATAAAAATGAACCCCGTTACAGAGTCACCATCATGTCTCTTCTCACCACCCTCTGAGTCTGCATTAGCCAGTCAACTAGCCCTTTCAGCGTCATGTGACCAGCGCGCCCCATTCAGCTTGGCTGGTGTCGTTTCACATGACCCAGGCATGGCCAGTCGTCAGGTTGCACCGCCCTTTGGTTCCCGAGCATGCTGTTTTCTCTCAGCCTTCTCTCCAACCTTAACCAAATCGGCAGCAGCCACCTCGACCGCCCACACATTCCTGGCCAATCAGCTCAGCTGTTTATTTACCAAATGTCTTCACAACAACTACAGCAGCAGCCTTCGGCTAACAAAAAAGCAGGAAAAATCCACAACACCCCCTTCGCCAACCAACTAAATCCAACGCAACATCTGGCAAAACCTTTTCAGCAAATTCTTCCTGGCCGTCAGTCCGGCAGCCTCACCTCACCATTTCTAGCTTGTTGAAACCCAAAAACTAGTAAGTTTTTCCTGCTTATACAGTTTACTGCTGGTTAAAATAAGGAGTAAGCGGCTTAAAGTAATTCTTTTTTCTGGATCAAAGGCTGGCTGTGCATAATTGAATGGTAACGTACATATATATTGCTTGAATAAAACTTTTAAGGGTGATAGGGAACTCATAATGTAACTAGACCTTCAAGTGAAACTTATTTGCATGTGTGAGATGCCAAACTAAAATTTTTAATAACTCTAACAGATTTAGCTTTCTTTTCTAGCAAAAATTTGTTGTATCCTATCACCTTTAAATGGTTTTACTAACAGTTCTCAAATTTTTTAAATTTTGGGGGTGAAGTGGGCCAAGCTAAGGTAATTTTGATAAGCCTAAACACACTCTTAAATGTGACGATCACAAATGCAGTTCTAATGTAGCACTTAATGGCATCAATATTTACACCTAGCGCGTTTTCACAGAATTACACTATCCACCTGGTACCTAAGTCTTGTCATGGACTTACAGGTTTGCATGGGTTCCAAATACTGGTTTATGGTACTGTTTTTGGAACTACTTGTGGGACTACATTTTGGTGTGGTGTTTGGGTAGTGAAGTTAGTTTGACGTGAAGTCTTGCATTGGACAGATCTGCTGTGAAGCATTCTTTGTTAAAGTGAATCCATGGTTGGAATACCTGCTTTTCACTTGAGCTTTTGGTTCCTTAATCCTTCTATACTTTTTTTTTCTTTTCTTTTTTTTTAATTTTTAATTTTTTGGACGATGGGTGCCAGTTCTTCGGCACATTCACTGGGCCCAACAGTGAGATTGAAAAGTTGGGAAATGCCTCACGCCATAAATGCTAATCGACAGTTAGCCTAATTTTCCTGTTTCTGCTTTTAGATCTCCAAGACGGAGAAGCTTCTCTCGCAGCCGGAGCAGGTAAATAACTACCATTTTGGGGCCACATTCTTAGGCATGCAAGTGTTTTGCTGTTCCTAAGGTGTTTTCCAAGCGATGTGGTTATTGGTAATAGACTTTGATTTTAGTAATGAGTCAAATAGCATATAGAGCCAGTTGTAAGAATGAACCAGCTTTTTAGTTTTCAGAAACTTGGAAATATTTGTTGTGTATAGTTCTGAATGGCCCTATTTTTCTTTTCTCTGACTTCAGGTCCCTTTCTAGAGATAGGAGAAGAGAGAGATCGCTGTCTCGGGAAAGAAATCACAAGCCATCCCGTTCTTTCTCTAGGTCTCGTAGGTAAGATCTTAAATGATCTATGCCATGTAAGACCTTGCATACGTAATGTACTAAAAACAAACAGGTCGTCTCTTAAGCCATTTGACACAATTTTAATAACTTTACCATGAAAAATCTTTGGATGACATCAGAGTGTAATCAAGTTACAGGTGTAACTTTTATTTTTCTGTTTCTTTAGCCGATCTAGGTCAAATGAAAGGAAATAGAAGACCTGTTTGCAAGAGGAGTGGTGTACAGGAAATAACTTCATTTGACAGGAGTATGTACAGAAAATTCAAGTTTTGTTTGAGACTTCATAAGCTTGGTGCATTTTTAAGATGTTTTAGCTGTTCACATTTGTTTGTCTCTTGGAACAGTGACACATAAAGATGTAATTCTCTATGGTTTAAAATGGATCATATGAGGCATGTAATACCAAGAATTGTTACTTTACAATGTTCCCTTAAGCAAAATTGAATTTGCTTTGAATTTTAGTCATACATAGACATAATAAACCTCTATAATAAACTTCTAGCTCCTCCAGCTAAAGTGTGATTAATACTATGGAAACAAAACTGGCAAAAATTGTAACAACTTTGCATAGCTGGGATATGGTATGCAGCTATAGTTGAACAAGCAGTCTAAAGCTGCTATGAATAAAAGCCAGCAGGTAAAAATTAAAGCTGCACCATTAAGCTAGATTAGAGGTTTTAAAATCTCACTAGTCTTCACACTGGACAAGAGGTTGTCCAGTTGGTGTAGAATCTTAAGTTTCAAGAAAGTTAGTTTACCTTTGCTTTAGGTCATAAGTTCTTTTTGTGATTGCTGTATATGAATACATAGCTTTTTTGTAACATTCTTTATTGGGAAATTTGAGACTATCCAAGATACCAGTGTCCTGCCAGTTTAAGGGTACATTGTAGAGCTGAACTTCTGAGTTACTGTGCAAGATTTTTTTTCATGCTGTCATTTGTAATGTTTTGTGAGAATCCTTGGGATTAAAGTTTTGGTTACAATTGTTGTTTAACCTGAAAGCCTGTTTTTCCTTGCAAAGTAAAATCTGTGAGCTTGGTACCAAGTCCAGGTATAACATTCCTATTGGAAGCCATACTTATTTTCTTGTAAAGTGCTTTTGACAATAAAAATATTAGCATAATTATGTAATAGTCAAACCCACTATTACCATAGTTTCTTGTCCCATAAAAGGCAGTTGGTTACACAAATCTTACTTTGTAAGAAACACAATTGAGGCTTTTGAAGAAAAGGGAATTTTTGGTTGTCCACCTAAGTGGTAATACATTTTTTTTAGGAGTAGAAGCCACTTCAAAGTCTTTGATACTCAGTGACCAACATTTTAAAGTACAGCCATCTGATATAACCCAAAGTTACCATAAAAAAGGCTTTTATCATTAGCATGAGAGCTTTCCACAAAGCTTTAAAAATTGCTTCTATTTTATATAATTTGAGGTGTTGCATGGGAATTCTAGACTGATCCATCATGATGTAAAATCCACTATGGTTCAAATGTAAGTGCAGAACTGACTATGGAGGCATGCATAACTTTCCTCTTAGAAATCTAGAGGAGTTGTGACTTCAAATTTTTGTGCAATTAGATTAAATCATAATGCAACAGTCTTGTGGCTTAGTTTCCTTAAATGTGCTAAAGATAGTTTTGGATTATGCTGTACTGTCTTTAATATGAAAGATAAGTCATTGCTTTAATCTTTAAGGATATTTTATAAGATGTAGGTTCTAAACAAGTTATTTCCAGTGGTCCTTATCGGGAGAAGAGAGTTACTGGTGACATGGGAGAATTGTCAGTGAAGTTCAGTATGAGCCTTAATATAGAAGACACTTTTGAGACTGCCTATTGACTTACTGGGAGCTCTGGCTTTGGGCCTTCAGTCTTGACATTTCATAGCCTAAACTTCGTTAGGAGCAAGGCAAGATAGCTAATAATTCATGGAAGTAATACGGTACATCAATAATTACACTGCTCTTACAAATTTATAAGGGCATTTTTGGCAGTAAACAACTTGCTGAAAGCTTTTTTTTTTTTTTAAAGGATGGTAGCTTATGGCTATAATATGGCTAATACAGAACCTGATAAAAAGTCAACCTCAGGGAGCTATCTGACCTTAGGGTCCAAATTTGTAATCACTTTAACCAGAAGCCCTAGCACAGGTTTATGGCTTGTAGAAAAAAAAAAGGAAGACAGAAATGGTTAAACCCTTGCATTCTACATTTACATTATGGCTATTAAAAGGTCTATAGTTCCTGTAATTTCTGAAATTATAAGTCCCTTTAGCCAGCTGTCATGCATCCTAAGTTGAGGATGTTAATGAAAGCAGTCACAAAAACTTGACTTTTGGGGTAGTGATTACATGTGTTCACTAGAGGTCACTTAATACTTGGTGATAATGTAAGGAAACATAACATTTGAGGATTATAGTTGGTTTTTATACTTGCAAGAATATATAACATTTTGTAGTTCTCAGTTCATTGTGGGTTACTTATGACTTCCATGTCTTAAGCAGAAAAAGGTGAAGACAAAGATAAATTAGAGAAATTTTATGAGAAGTAGATACCATTTATCTAGGTTTATACTCTTTCCAGTTCAAAAGATCACATGGTCAGTAGATGGCATCTCTACCTTTTTAGTTAGACTCCTGTCTGGATGAGAAATCCTGGTTGCTTTTTATTGTAGTCATTAGTTCATATTCGTACAGCGCTTTATCTGGAATGGCATTGATTACAGAAGGTTTTCAAAATCACAGCCTGATTCCAGGCACATTGATTAGTTTTCCCATCCTGGTTATATAAGAACCACTGGTTTAGTACTTTGTCTTAAATGTGCTTTTATTTTCAGAATCCTAAACATGATTTAGTTGTCAGATCTAGTTTGGTGGGTAATGTCTTCTAGTTGTATATTTTTGTACTAGACTGTTGCCTTCTGGTTTTTCTTTTCTTTTTTTTGAGAACATGAAAGATTTTTATAATTAAAGTAGCTGAAGAAAAACTGGGTTGGAGTATATTTTTATCAAAACAATCTGATAGTGTTGAATTCAGTTTTATGTGTCCACACAAATTCTCTTAATTCTGTTAAAGATTCATTGAATACTTGAAAAGAATTCAGCTATATACAGCATACTTGTGAGGTTCTAAGAAGATACATTGAAAATTTGTCTTGATAAAATAGTGTAACTGCTTGATTTTGTTCATACAACTTACCCCCTTATTGGGACTGCAGAAATTCATAATACAGTATTTAGACTCATTGTTCGGTATCCCAGTTCTTTTCTCTACCTGGACGGAACACGTGAGAACAGCCAAAATGTTTCCTAGACTAAACACGTGAAATAAACGTGTAGAGCGTTAACTTTTCTCATCTTTAGTTTTTCCTTAGTTCTCTCTGACATGCATAAAACATTGTATTATATGATTATTTTACTGAAGTCTTAAAATCTGGCCATCTAGTGCCTTAACTGTGTATGTATTTATAGTCTTGAAGTGAAAATCTCTGGAAACATTGATACTTAGCTTCTTTGCTAAGTATCAGTACTTAATTTGGAGAGGTTCTTTATTTCCAGGGCAGAATTTAAGCCTTCCAGAAAAGTGGTTTATAGGTGACTTCCCTTTCTTTTTGAAGTCTTACTTGTGAACTGGCATCTTCGTTTCAGTACATAACGCATTCAGATTAATTTAGGGCAAGTCAGCATCCTTTAGTGGTCTTTATTTTATATATATATATATATATATTATATATATATATATATATTTTTTTTTTTTTGCCAAGTCCCAAAACTACAGTCAAGGGGGAAAGTTGCTGAAAGATTGCTTAAGAAAGCTGCCTTGGAAGGGAGTGGGGGTTATTTGTATTGATCATTTGAAAGAGGGAATGAAAAGGATCAGTATAAAAATCAGCACTGTTTTGAGAACTAAAAATTATTTTTGAAAGAATAATTCCCTCAGGAAACAATTTCTAGGTCCTTTTAAACTTAGGCAGCTGGTACTTTTAACCCAATCCAGCTGGCTCTGCCATATGTTTTATAATGAAACTTAGTTTAGATAAAATGATCAATGTTAAGTTTCAACAAGAGTACTTTGCAAATAAATACAAATTGGAATATTGATTTGTCATTTAATCTTGTGTCACACCTTTCCCACGTGGTAATCTGACAAAGGCATTTTATGTGGAAGGGGGTACAGTTAGAAGGCACAACACCAGCTCAGTATCTAAAAGCATGAGCTATCTGATCTGTGTTCAGTATTAGGATGTTGAAGCCTTGAACTAAACAATTTCATGTTCACCTGTTTTAGATTAGAATAAGAGCTGTTGGTTGTAGGGCTTTTAAATGCCCTAAGAATCTTGGCATTCTGGAGTGCCAAGATTGGATCTGGAGTGAGATGGCAAATAATTAGTTGAGGGTCCTTTGAAAAGCCCCTTAGCAACAATAGAAAACAAGTGAATGGAGTCAGATGGTAAGGTACTGGGGGGTAGGGGAAGGACTAAAGGCAGAGCTCACAGATAAAGGCTACATAAAGAATCTGAGGTGAAGGAGAAATGAGTACCTTAATCTAGTCATAATGTAGAAGTGTAGAGGTAAGGAACAAATTGAGTGCACATCTGCTCTAGGATTTGGAAATAAAACTGAAAGGACTCTTAAATTCATGAATTTGAAATGATTCTAGTCTGATGATGATTTTGTACTTTTCTTCCGTCCTCCTTCAAATAAACAGTGTGGGATAATTTGTGCAGCTTCAGTACTGGCAGGAAGGCCAAGGATGAAATGGCTGGTTTCATGTGTCCCAGCTGTCTGGAGTTTAATGGAGACAAGAAATTTACTGAAAATCCTGGTTGGTCTTCAGTTGGCAATCCATCTGACATGAAATTAGCTTCCAGAAGTGAGGTTGGGAGCAGAAGTTGCCCAGTAAGGAGTAGGTGAACACTGATAATTTGGAGAGGACTAACATCTGAATCTTTGAAAGCAGCTGCCTTTTAGGATGCTAGAAGCTTTGGTGAAGAACTGGAGTGGTCAGGAAGGGAAGGTTTTTAAAAATTGATTAATTTTTGCCCTATCTGCCCCACCACTTCTTTCTCTGGCCAGTTACGTTCTCCAGGAAATGAAGTTTTGTTTTTGAGTACTGCTCTGCCAAACATTGTCCAGGGCCTTTTTCTTATGTGATGCTTAATCACTTGAGAGGTGAGTATCCTTGTTAAAGAGGGCGGAAGAAAGTTCCTGACACTTCATTCCTCATTGAACTGAATAAGTACAGGTGATCTCCAACTTAACGATGGTTCAACTTCTGAATTTTTGACTTCATGATGATGGAAAGCCAATATGCAGGAATTACTTCAAATTTTGAATTTTGACCTTTTCCTTGGCTAGCGGTGTGCAGCACGATACTCTTGTGCTGGTCAGGGGCAGTGAGCCAAGCCACAGCTCCAAGTCAGCCATGAGATCATGAGGGTAAACAACTCTGAAACACTTAAGAAGCTTTCTGGATCCGTACAGTCATTCTGTTTTCCATTGACTATACAGTATTCAATAAATTGTGTGAGGTATTTAACACTTTCTTAGATAATTTTGCCCAACTGTAGGCTAATGTAAGTGTTCTGAGCACATTTAAGGTAGCTAGGCTAAAACTGTTGGGTAGGTAAGCATATTAAACATTTTCAACTTATGATGGATTTGCTGAGATGTAACTCCATTTTAAGTTGAGGAAGATCTGTAGTGTATTCAGCACTGAGGCCATACTTCAAAGCCCTTGTTTTCTGTTCACTGCATTTTTACTTTACAACCCAATCGTAACATGCCATTTTACTGCCATTCAGTGACTGTCAGGATTTAGGGCATGTCTTAATGGTAAAACACGCTCATGATAAAAATTATATTGCATATACACTGGAAAATAATTACCTCCTTTCTAGAGGTAATTTAAATTCTTGTTTTCTAGAAAGTTAAGCATACTGTGATAAGCAAGTATTGATAAAACTAGAAATGCTAACCGGGTGTCCTTCAGCTAACCTTATCACATCTGAAGCATGCACATCTGAGGTGTATATACTATTCAAATCTACCATATATGTCATCATCTAGGCAGATACCACAGTTAAGCAGTCAGTTAAGATATTTCTTGACAAAGGCCTGCCCAGCTTTATCCCGATGCTTAGTGATGCTTAATTTAATGTGACTAAAATGTTACCGTCAAGGAAGACAAAGCTGTACTAATGTGGCTGGGTTGACACTGATTGTCCATGTTCCCTTTTAACCTTGTGTCATGGGCATGCTTCAAAGCTGTGACTATTTGCTGTGGTTACTCCAGTCTCTTGGTCTTGACATCACTCAATTTTAACCTGTTCAGGAACGTGAGTGCAACATTGGTGAGTACTGCATTTTATATAAGGACTGGTAAACAACAAACTTTCTATTAACTTTCTCAACTTCATAGAGAAAATACAATTTTTTTTCCTTTTCTAAAAAATGGAATCTTCCAGAGAACACCCCAGAATTCCAGAAAAGGCTGTTTTAGAGATTCATGAGAGCACATTCTCTGTTTCCAAAACCTGGGTGACTGAAGTTTGGAGTATTATGCAGCATTTCTTAGTTGCTGGCACATTTTGAGTGATCACTCAGATGTTGACAGTGGACCTGGTGATTAAAGCAATTGAACTGGCCTCCAGAGGCTGCAGTCTGTTGACCTGGAAGAATGCTCCATTCCTTTCCTCAAATGATTTAGATTAATTCTTATACAGGTGAATGGAAGGGTGTTTTTTTGTTGTTGTTGTTGTTGTTAAATTCAGCTTTATATTAGTCTGTTATTTTCAACTAAGCTGAAAGGGCAGAGTGTTAAAAAGGTTTGGGCAAAGGGTAAGGATGGGCCAGCCTTGTATTTGTCTCTGGTTGGATCTCTCGGATGTGGTTGGGCCCAGGAAGGGTTTTTAAGTACTTCCCATGTGCAACATCCAAGATTGGTTCCTTAATGGCCAATTTTTTGGACTTGACAGGAAGAAAGTAATTTAAAAGGGTGTTAGTAATCTAAGGCAAATGTACTCATCTTGTTTTATTGAGGAAGAGACTGGTCACAGCCCAGCAGTGATTGAGCTGGAATAGTGTAACCCAGGTTGCAGGACTAGGTGCAGATTAACTGGAAATGGCCTTAGAGTCCATAGTCCCAGTCCTTTAAGAGATGAGAAGGTGGATTTGCCCAAGGTCACGCTGGGACAAGGACTGCTCCAACAGCTAATCCAGTGGTAGTTCCAGGGAGCAGTATAAGGTTAAGGTCTTAAGGCTTTGAAGCCACTAGCCAGGGTTTGAATTCCTGGCTTCCTTGCTTATAACTCAGTAACTTTGGACCAGCTGCAAAATCTCTGGTGCTTCATTTTTCTCATCTATAGAATGGGTAACAATAGGGAACAACTACCTCCTATTATGTTGAGAATGTGGTGATGTGATGCACATACAGCACTCAACACAGAATGACACTGCCTAGGAAGCGATAGCTAACACTATGACTAGTGTGCAGTAAGCAGTCAAGGAATGGCTTTTAAGCAAAACTGACCCATTTTGGTGCTGGGCAAGCAGGAGTGCCCCCAGTGCATACTAGGAATGTTTCCACTGACCCTGATCCTTACCCACTTTTGACTTGTCCACTTTGAGGGGACATTAATTTGAGGGGTCCAAGGTCAAGAGGGACATATTTGTGGTTAAAGAGATGTGGGCAGATTTCAAGAAAGGGGCTTCTCCAGTCACAGTGATAGGCAGGTGGGAAAGATAAGATGAAGGATTAAAAGTGTTAGGTGTCTCTTTAAAAATGGGTTTTCCAATTAGGCCAGCCTGTATTCAAATTTCCGTCTTTTGGCTGTGTGTCTGGGGCAAGTCACTTTTATCTTCATTTCTTATTTGTAAAGTTGAGGATAACAAAAACATACCTCAGAGGGTATAACTGCTGAATCTGTGGTTTTTCCCCCACCCTTTGCTGCATGTTGGAATCACTGGGGAGGGGGGAAGTTTCAAG